ATTTTTTGTTCCCCCCGGCATTTTGCCCCTTTGTTTTCCACCCCCGACGAGTATTTTTCCCCCCCCCCCCCCCCCCCACGGTCCTGTGGAAACAATGCTCCTTCCTCTGGAGGACGCGTGGTCAACGCTCTAACAACTAAGATGTGCAAAACATTAGTACGCCCCCCCCCCTCCCACGCAAAATATGCGGCAGGGAAAACAGATGCAGGATGGAAGGAGTATGTTGAAAGTAGAAAGAGGGTGAAGGAGTTGGTCGTGAAGAAGAAGAAAGGGTTGTGGGAGGAAGTAGTCCAAAAGACTAACGAAGATTTTGAGGGGGGGATGAAGCAAATGTGGGTAGGAATTCAAGGGATAGTGGGCAACAAAAGAGGGGGAGACACGGAAATAACGACACTAAGATCTGCCGAGGGTAAGATGGTAAGCAGTTCTAAAGGAAAGAGGGACGTACTAGTAGAGCACTACCGCAAACTTGGGACACCCACCACCAACGACAACTTCGACTCGGAGTTTGAGAAGGAAATCAACTCGTGGGCAGAGGAAAACGTTGAAAGATCTCAGAGGGAACGTAGTGATGTGGACGGGTTGCAGGGAGAGTTCACACGAGAAGAGGTAGAGGACTGCGTAGCGAAACTCAAGAATAGAAAAGCGGCAGGGGCTGATGGAATTGTGAACGAGCTTTTGAAACAGGGGGGGGAGGGGATGATTAACATGTTGATCCGGATATTCAACTGGATATGGAAACACGAGTACGCGCCGAAGAGATGGAGAGAAGGAGTAGTCGTGAACCTGTTCAAAAAGGGGGATAAAGCTGACCCGGGGAATTATAGAGGGATAACCCTGTTGAGCACAGTGGGGAAACTGTTTGGCAAGATGATAGACAATAGAATGGGAGACATGTTGGAGGGGAAACAAAAGATCAGCGAAGGACAAGCTGGATTTAGACCAGATCGTAGTTGTGTAGACCATGTATATACGTTGAGTAAAATCATCCAAGGTAGGAAAGACGCCGGGCGTACGACATACTGTTTCTTCCTCGATATACAAAAAGCCTACGACACCGTATGGCGCAATGGATTGTGGAAAAAGATGTGGGACATCGGCATCCGGGGGAAAATGTGGAGGATGTTGAAAAAGATGACAGAATGCACAAGAAGTGCGGTGATGTTGGATGGGGAAATTTCGAAGTACGTGGATATACTCCAAGGAGTCGCACAGGGCTGTACGATGTCACCCACTCTTTTTAAGATTTACATCAACGATTTTGATAAGGGCGGTTGAAGCAGTAAGACAGGGAGTCCAAGTAGAGGGAAAGAGTGTCCGGACTGATGTTTGCAGATGATTTCGTGGGGGTATCCGAAACACCAGAAGGGTTGCAAGAACAAATAGATGCGGCGGTAGGATACACCCGAAAATGGAGACTGTCGGCGAACGTAGGAAAATGCGCAGTAGTGGTCTGTAACGAAGATAAGAAAAATCCCGTAGAATTCAAATGGAAATGGGGGGAGGAAGAACTACCGGTAGTAGACAAGTATACGTACCTGGGAGTAGAGATTTCGAAGGAGTGCTCATGGGACGCACACATAGCGAAGTTGATTGGGAAGGGTAAAGCTCAGATAGGCAAGATGGACGAGATCCTTACGGACCCACACCTAGACACTAGGATTAAGAGGTGTATTCTCTTGAAGGTGATTGTACCTAAGCTAGAGTATGCAGGAGAGATATGGGAAGGTAACGAAAAGGCCGTCAAGCAGCTGGAAACGGTGCAGATGGCAGCGGCCAAGAAAATACTAGGATGTTCAAGTACAACGAGCAACACTGTATTGAGAGCAGAATTGGGAATGTACTCTCTTAAAACAAAGAGAGACATGCAGAAGTTGAAGTGGCAGTACAAGGTAAGTAGAATGTCGGACGATAGACTACCAGCCATGGTTGACGAGGCAGCTTGGGGAAAAGCGACTCCAGGGAAGAAGGGAATCAGATGGGACAAGGTGGTAGAGAAGGTTTGGAAGGAGATAGGAGACGAGGAGGAGACGTTGGACACGGAAGGGTTCGGGGGGTTCAAGACGAAAGTCAAGGAGATGCTAGAGAGTAGGGAGGAGACAACCCTTCGGAAGAAGGTACGAAGCGAAGACCACTTGGAGATATACGGGAAGTTGAAAGAAGGGATAGGGATGAAGAAGTACTTGGACGGCCCCATGGACTATGCGAAAAAGCTGAAATTGCAATTTCGAGTAGGCGATCTGGACTTGCCAGAACGGAGGAAGAGGTATACCAGCCGTGGGAGAGAGGAAGAGGAGGATAGACACACATGTCCATGTGGCAAATCGGAGGAGAGTAGACCCCACATAGTTGGGGAGTGTGAGTTGTACAGGAAGGAAAGAGAGGATCTCGAGGAGGAAATGAGACAGAGAGGGTGTGACATGGACAAGTTTGGTAAATTAGACAACAGCGAAAAAACGATCGCGATAATTGGGGATAGATGGTGGGCACAAGAGGCCCTAGAGGACGGGGATAAGATGTGCAAGAAATTTTTATGGAGTTTGTGGCAGAAACGTAAAGAGCTCCCAAATGTTGGTGGTGTCTCTAGTAGGTGTAGGAACGGTGCTCCGTCTCGAAAGGGACGCGTGGTCAATGGTCAAATGACTACGGCAAGCAACAAATGAGTACGCCCCCCCCCCCCCCCCCCC